GCCAGGGTTTGAGCACTTGCAGAGAGTTCCCATTGCAGCAGAGAAATAAAAGCCAGAGCTAAGTAATTTGACTTAATCCTAACGATTTGCAAGGAAGTGCTGTTTCTGTGAACACACTCAGAAATCAATGGCAGAATATAGTATCTTTGGTCAGAAATACCTTTTATGGCAGTGTCCTATCCAAAATGTCATTTAGTGCATAACCACAAGTTGAGTTTGCCCTTGACCTTTTAACAGTATTTCTTATGGCATACCACAGGGAATAAGAACAAATTCCCTTCTGCTGGGATTTCATGACTGGTTCTCAAGCAGTTTGTACTTTTAGATCTAGCAGTGTTTCTCAGTGGCAGTTGTTCAGTCTGATGGTGTGCCAACATGACAGACAGTTGGAGACTTGTAACCAATTTTACAGTCTTTGAGTGTTTTTGGCCTTGTCTCATAATCTTTCAGATTCATATTGTTTAATTGCTGATTTATTCTAGATATCTTTACTGATCTTTGACCCACAATTCAAGTCTTCCACTGCTGATGGAGTTGTTCTTAACTACCTCTTCCCAGCCCTTAGCTGCGTCCCTGACTTTATACCAGATGTTAAAGGCCTTACTGAGATCTAAATAACTCTCTCTTGTCTTTGGGGAATTTCAGTAACAGCATCACAGGGAGGCTACTATTATTTTTCACTAGAATTGCTTCTTCCTGTTTGATTCCCTGACCACTGTTTTAGGTGATGATGATGAGCTGAGCCAAGTGTGCCTCTCAGGGCTCTTTCTCTACAAAATTGGTAGATGTTTGCATGATGTAAGCCCAGGAAAATCCCTGTTCTCCCTTTTAGTGTATTGCAGATAAAACTGGATAGGAAACAATTGTTAAGACCTTGCAGGGAGCCTGATGCAGGTCATGAACTTTTGTTTCAATGTTCTTTTTGAAATTACTTTTCAGCTTTGTGTTTTACAGCTTCTCCCTGTGAGTGTGTTGCAAGGCTGAGTTCATGGCATCACTGAGGGTTTTTTGGCCATGTTGGATAGAAGGTGTTGCAGTAGAGCTTCTCAGTCTGTCTAAATCCTTTGTAATCAGTTACTGCCCTAACTAAGTACCATTTTACTGGCAAGCCATTCTGTAGCACTTCCCCAAAACACTTGTGTGCCACAATTTTTTGTAAAATTGTCAGCAGTTTTTCAAGTAGTTATTTTCAGCTTGGCTAAAGAGGAACAGAAGCTGATGATTTCTCTCTTTCAGTCCTGCTTTTAATCCTGATTTTGCGACTTCTCAGGCATGGAACTATTCCTTCACTTTTGAGAAGGTTTTTCAGACTATTTTATTCAGAAGGAGAAGATGAGATATATGGATGTCAGATTTACTTTTGTTGGTGAAGACAGAATAGGAAGTTTTTTTCTCCACAGAACACTGTAGGAAAAAAGGCAGCAAAGTTCCTTTGCTTTCAATTCAGGTCTTTCTAGACAGCGTTGTGTCTGACAAATATCTCAGCTGTGGTGTTTTGGGGTTTCTCTTTGACTTTAATTTTCTGTCTGTCCTGATTTTCACTGCAGTCTTGTGCACTGGTTTTCTTTGAAATCTTTTCACACTCACTCTCTTGCTTCCCTTACTTCCCTAACAGTAAAGTCCCATTCTGCTAGTTTGTATTCAGGTCCCAGGAGAAGATGATTCAGTTCATATGCCTCAACACCTCTTCCAGTCTTTCGCTGTTTTGGACAGCTGTATTTGTATTTCAGCCATCTGTTCCAGGAAGAAGATGAATTACTTCTACATTTTGGACAGTTGTATTTGTATTTCAGCCATCTATTCCAGGAAGAAGATGAATTACTTCTACATCTAACTCCCATTTACACACAGTTATGGAGTTTTTGGGGTCTGATGACAAAAAGCAACACAGGTATCACCTGATTGTACTTCTTGTATTCGTGGTCTCTCCAGTGATTCTCAGAAGTTGTGCTAAAGCATGTATTTTTAGAAAGGTATTTTCTCCTATTTGAAAGTCTCCATATAAAATGAATCTACTGTCTTTCGCTAGTAACTTACTTCAGTAAGTGAAAATGGCTTTTAGCTCACACCCTCACAGCTGAAGACTGTTTTGTTTAGTTCCATTCCCCCAAAGGGCAGAGTAAAAATGCTTGAAAGTAGCACAAATTTGCAATATTGGAGACCTTCTTTTGAAAGGTTTGTTATTTTAGAACACTTTCTAAATGCATTCTTCACAGTAGTTCCATTCCTGGAGACTGAGGAGGGGAAAGGACTTTTTAACCTTCGAGTGTTAAGATGTGGGATGACAGAAGATACATACATGGATTTGTGGTACAGGATCCAGTGGTAATGACAGAAACTAAGCTCAGTTGCTCAGCTGCTGTGTGTGTGCAGGTATAGACAAAGAGTGGCAAGATGAAGTGAAGGCTATAACATTTGGGCTTAATTAATATTTATCTTCAGACCCATTGTTTGTCGTAAGCGAAAAACCAAAATACTACAGCCAGAGGAAATTCTAGTTTAGGACTAAAATGTCAAACAATTTAAGTCTTTGGAAGTACAGAAACTTGTCCTTAAGGGAGTTGACCTAGTGCCTATGAGGATCACTCAGCTACCACTGGAACAAATTCCAGGCTTTGACATGATGGCAGAAAGTGCACACATTTGTTTGCTGCTAGAACAGAGAGTCCTGGGGACTGAGCAGATGATAGCAGATAAGCCCTGGCACTGCTACTAGGGCTACCATTTTCATCACTTCTCTTCTGAGATTATTTGGACTCATTTTGAGGTGAAGAATTCCCCTTAGTGTATATGGAATGAGAAGACCCATCTGCAGTAAAGAGCATCACTGTTATTTTAATTTCTGTTATTTATTAATTTTCTTTCTCTCTTTTGTGCAACAGTTTGTGTGCATATTTTGTTTTCATTATATTTCAGTGCAAGTGTTTTGCTTAGTGTTCCTGTTTTGGTTTGGTTATTGAAGTCCTTTTATGCAGCTTTCCTTCAATCCTGTTTCAGTTGCAGAATGTTTTCATTCTACTTTCTATTTTTCATTCTCTCCATTTTTATTTTAATTATGTTTCAACATATTATATCTTTGTAGGACTTTCTGTTTACACTCTCCTGTTTTTCTTTAATTTAAATAAGCAGGTTTTTATTTAATGTTACCAAGTTTTGGCTTCAGTCTGAAGGTTTCTAATTTGAAGTGATTGCAATGAACTTCCTACAATAGTTGAATTTAACTTTTTGGTCCTTGATACATCCTTTTCTCTTTCTAGTTGAAACCCTCAAGGTTGATTTTCTCCTCTTTTGCT